GGACCTGTGTGCCCGACGGTCCTCTAGGAATTCAACATTGCTGCCAGGCGCAGGGGAGTGAAATGGCATCTGATTATTCTAATTTGCATTCCCTGATTAGTAGTGAGATTAATAATTACTTCATACATTAATTTCCACTTGCATTTTTTTTCTTTAACTTGTCTATTTATATATTTGGCCAATTTTTTTTCTCCAATTGATTGTTTTTTTTTGTTTTCAATTCTCACCTGAGGGTTTTTAAAAAATTGATTTTAGAGAAAGAAAGGGAGGGAGGGAGAGACAGACAGACATTGATGTGAGAGAGAAACATTGGTCTGTTGCCTCCCATATGTGCCTCAACCGGGGATCGAGCCCGAAACCTGGGTATGTGCCCTGACCGGGAATGGGACTCGCCACCTTTCGGTGTATGGGACAGCGCTCCAACCAACTGAGCCACACCATCCAGGGCTTGACTGCCCTTTTTCTTATGGTTCTAGGAGTTCTGTGTTTGATTTGTGATCACACGCACCTTGGTACCTTGACCACCTTTTGCAGAATATGGGTTCATCTGTGCCAGATTCTCTGCTCCCTTCCAGACAGGGACACTGAGGCCCTGGCAGAGAAGCCGTTTCCACTCCTCTGCTGGGAGGCACTGCTGGCTCTGGAGGGCTGAGCGAGGGAGGGGCGGATGCACTGTCTGCAGGAAACGCCCTGAACAGGCCTTCCCATGGCCAGAAGGAAAGGCCCCACTCCCCTGACTGCCCCCTTTCCTTCTGCGCTCTCCTGACCACGCCCCGTGTGTCCCAGGGGCAGCTGTCAGGTGAGGTCTGCTCCAGCTGAAGGGCCTCCTGGAGGAGATCCGATGTGAAGGTGCCCTCTGTAACTTACTGTCCCCGAGCCTCAGTTTCCCTATCTGTAAAATGGGCATGAGGAATATTATCCAGCCTAAAAAGGAAGGGCATTGTGATACATGCTGCATCATGGGTGCACCTGAGGACATTATGTTAAGTGAAATAAGCCAGACACAGAAGGACACGTAGTGTGTGAGTCCACTGATAGGAGGGCCCAGGGTTGTCAGATTGATGGAAAGTAGAATGGTGGTTGCCAGGGGGTGGGAGGTGGGAGAGCTTGGGGAGTTGGTGTTTAATGGGGACAGTTTATGTGACTGCACTTAAGGCCACTGAACTGTACACCTGAAAATGGTTAAAATGGTAAGTTTTATGTTGTACGTGTTTTACTACAAGAAAAAACTTTGAGGAGAAAAATGGCACCAAAACAATGTGCACCTCCTGGGCTTGGGAAGCTTCTGGGCACGGCCCTCAGTCAGCCTGGGAAGGGGAGCTGCTCTAACTGGGTGTCTGGGTGTTGAGTCACCTTGAGTCACCGGCTCTGGGGCGGGTCGCTGCAGGGGGACCCGTCGCTTCCCCAGGGGCCTTGGGGTTGGGCTGCTTCCTCCCTCTGCCCTTGCAGCCCAGGTCTGCAACCGAGGCTGCCTCTCCTCCCTGCCACCCCTGCGGCCCACCCGCTTCGCTACACCCACTCTGGCCCTATGCCCCTCTCAGGGCGCTCTTGAGACCCTCAGAATTTATTGAGCACCTACTGTGTGCTGAAGACTCCTGTCCCCCGTGAGCATCTGGTCCTCTCCCAGGTGGTGAAGAGCTTGAGGAGAGTTGTGCACCAGCCAGAACTGACTGCCCGCCCCACTCTGCACTAAGCTCTGCAAAAGCATGAAGGTGCATGGACTCCTCCCAGCAGCCAGGGAGGTGTCCTGCCCTCGTGTTTGTGCAGAACCTGAAGCTGCAAGCCCGTGCGGAGCTTGCCCAAGGCCCACCTTGAAGCCTCCTCAGCACGAAGTTGACATCCATCTCTTCTGCTGTGGCCACAGGTGCCCTCCCTGCACACGGGTGCGGTTATTCGGCACTCCTCTGCCTCTCCCACCCGTCTCCACACTCACACTGGACCTAGAGGCCCTGCAGGGGGGGACACACCTTGGTCACTTTTATTGCCCCACAGGACCAAGCCAAGGGCTAAGCAGAGTTCAGGATGTGCTTCGAGACCAGGTGTTTGACAGTGGAGGGGTGAGAGCCAGGCACGCTGGGACAGAGCAGACCGGACTGTTTCCTGCCTCTGAGCCTCATGCTCCCTCACCTGGAAACAGAGCTGTGAACAGTTCCCGCCCCAGAGCCAGGAGTCAGGAAGGCAGCATGTGCAAAGCCCAGGATAGCAGGGCCCAGAGGCCTCCTCACTGGGAGGCTGGGCGTTCTCGGTCCTGACACACCCACTCCCCCTTTGAAACCACATCCTGCCTGGTCATACACTGCCGCCACCCCCACGCCTGACATCCTGCCATGGCCCACTCATTCTGGATTCTCCAGGGCAGGCCCGCAGACCCTCTCCTCTTGGTCCCTCCTCTCTTCCGGTCCACAGGCATTGGGTGTCCCCCTGGAGGAGGACTTGGGGAGCCAGGAGGGGTGGGTCAAATGTCCGGGTGTCTGGGCCAGAGGCTGGCTACTTGATTCAGCAAGCCCCCCCGGAGTGTCACTTTCCCAGGAGTGGGTGGTGTGGAGCCAGCTGGTCATTAGAGGACCTGGGCCTTCCTGTGGGGCGGGCACGCTCCTGGCCTGCGCCTCTTGGCCTCACAGGAGGGCTGACCTGGGATGGAGCCACCCGCCCAGGCGGAGCTGGTGTCTGCTGGCCCCGCAGTGACCTGGCTCTGGGGGTTGGAAGCTGCACTCCTGTGCTCTGTCTCTCGGTACCGCTGCTGCAGGGGGCCTCTGGGCAGGTGGCGAGAAGGCCAGACATTGGTAAGGACCCGAGCGGGAGGTAGCGGATATTCGGAGGCATAGTCTCGGCTCTGCCCTCAGTTTATAAGCGTGACCTTGGGCGGGTGGATTGACCTCTCTGGGCCTTAGTTCCCCCGTCTGTGGAATGGGACTGCAGGTAGGCCCTCCTTCCTGGCATCTAAGGGATTTCACGAGAGGACCCCATGGTGAGGGCCAGCTCGGTGCCTGCACACGTCCATCTCAGTGCCCCAGTTTTTCCACGGTCCTGTTTTGCTTTCCTTCTGTCCTCCCCACCCATCCCAGCATGCTCAGTCTAGAACAGCCGTGGGCAAACTACGGCCCGTGGGCCGGATCCGGCCAGTTTGAAATGAATAAAACTAAAAAAAAAAAGGCCGTACCCTTTTATGTAATGATGTTTACTTTGAATTTATATTAGTTCACACAAACACTCTATCCATGCTTTTGTTCCGGCCCTCCGGTCCAGTTTAAGAACCCATTGTGGCCCTCGAGTCAAAAAGTTTGCCCACCCCTGGTCTAGAAGGACAGGATGGGAAGTTTGCAGGGAAGCCCTGTTTCATGAAACATTCATTACTATTGTCATTATTTATATTATTAGTAATCAAAATAAGGTGGTCCAGTCCCATAACCTGGACACCCTTGTTCCTCTCCCAAGAGAAACAGATCCATTTGTCAAAACACAGGATTTAACCTTCGTTTAAAGTCTAGATGACAAAATAGGGTGTAAAGTAAAATCACAATTTTATTTTAAGAAATATACACAGAAAGGACTAGGATGTTATTGCTCATTGAAAAGTTAACAGTGGTAGCCCTGGGGGTGTTTTCACAGGGGATTTCACTTCTCGCCTCACGTTCTCCCGTGAGCATCAGGTACCTTTCTCATCCCATTCGTCTTACACTGTTCGTTACGAGAGCACCGTGCCTTGGCAGAGCGACCACGGAGGAGAGGCCTTGCACATGTTTATTCGGTGGCACTCCTCCTGTACGCCACTGGCTGGAGTTCCTGAATGTGGCTTCTAAGCTAGTGTTTCCCAAACTTGGCCAATCATTAGTGTCACCGAAGTCATGTATTAAAAAATCACCCGCCCTAGCCGGTTTGGCTCAGTGGATAGAGTTTCGACCTGCAGACTGAAGGGTCCCAGGTTCGATTCCGGCCAAGGGCACATGCCCGGGTTGTGGGCTTGATCCCCAGTCGGGGGCGTGCAGGAGGCAGCCAATCAATGATTCTCTCTCATCATTGATGTTTCTATCTCTCTCTCCCTCTTCCTTCCTCTCTGAAATCAATAAAGAAATATATATATATTTTTTTAAAATCCCCCCCCCCCCCCCAAAAAATCAGATTCCTGGCTTCATCCAAGATCCGCGGAATAGGACTCTTCTTGGACATACCCTGCTGCTACTGCTTTTAATTTGTTTATACACACACGTGGACGGACATGACCAGCGATCATTTTCCATAGTGCATATTCATGATCTTGTCCTCCTGCTCCAGGCCGAGAACGTCTTGTTCTCTCGTCCCCTCACCCAGGAGCTCCTCCTTACACCTACTGTGTGTGTTTTCCGGTCCCTCCAGTGCTCCCGGAATCCTGTATGGACATAACTATATGCACACACTTAGGAGCGCTCAGACTTCCCTATTTGGTTTACAAAAGTGAGTTCACATTAAGCCCCCTCTTCTGCATTTGGCTTTTCTCAGACTCTGCAGACATCTCTTCAGGTCACTGGCGCAGCTTCCCGGCAGCTGGCTCCGAGTGAACTGGTGGTTTCAACAAGCCCCTGCAGTCCGTCTGATCAGTAAGAACAAGCATGTCAAACTCAAAGGCTAACACGGGCCAAATAAAGGAGGCATACGGCCCACGGGCCACGAGTTCGACATGCTTGAGTAAGAGGAGAGGGTCCAGCCGGATATCTCAAATGCTCCTGTGAGCCTGAATTAGCCATCTGTCAGCGTGGGTCCTCACCTCAGTGCTCCGTCTTCCTGTCTGTTAAATGGGGAGGCTGCCTGCCGTCCCCCACAGTGGTTTCCCAGTCACCTGGTGACCATGTGGTTTCTGGAGGAAGGCTGATCCGGGGGCTGCCCCACGAGTGGCAAGGCTCTGGCTCCCCGCTAGACTCGAGGTGGAATTTTGGACAACGAGTCCATTGTCTCCTTCCCTTGACCCCCGGGTCCCTGAAAGCCAGGCTGCCCTGCAGTAACCCCCTCGTATGGGTGCCTTTCAGGTTGAACCATGATTCCAGTGACAGAGCTCCGCTACTTTGCGGACACACAGCCAGCGTACCGGATCCTGAAGCCGTGGTGGGACGTGTTCACCGACTACATCTCCATCGTCATGCTGATGATCGCAGTCTTTGGGGGCACACTGCAGGTCACCCAGGACAAGATGATCTGCCTGCCTTGTAAGTGGGTCACCAAGGACTCCTGCAACGACTCTTTCCGGAGCTGGGCAGAGCCCATCTACTCCAACTCCACTATCCTGCCGATCGCTGACACCGGCCCCACGGGCATCAAGTACGACCTGGATCGGCACCAGTACAACTACGTGGACGCTGTGTGCTATGAGAACCGCCTGCACTGGTTCGCCAAGTACTTCCCCTACCTGGTGCTTCTGCACACGCTCATCTTCCTGGCCTGCAGCAACTTCTGGTTCAAGTTCCCGCGCACCAGCTCGAAGCTGGAGCACTTTGTGTCTATCCTGCTCAAGTGCTTTGACTCGCCTTGGACCACGCGGGCCCTGTCGGAGACGGTGGTAGAGGAGAGCGACCCCAAGCCGACCTTTAGCAAGATGAACGGCTCTATGGACAAGAAGTCCTCGACGGTCAGCGAGGACGTGGAGGCCACGGTGCCCATGCTGCAGCGGACCAAGTCCCGGATCGAGCAGGGCATCGTGGACCGCTCGGAGACAGGCGTGCTGGACAAGAAGGAGGGGGAGCAGGCCAAGGCGCTGTTCGAGAAGGTGAAGAAGTTCCGGACCCACGTGGAGGAGGGGGACATCGTGTACCGCCTCTACATGCGGCAGACCATCATCAAGGTGATCAAGTTCATCCTCATCATCTGCTACACCGTCTACTACGTGCACAACATCAAGTTCGACGTGGACTGCACCGTGGACATCGAGAGCCTGACAGGCTACCGCACCTACCGGTGTGCCCACCCCCTGGCCACGCTCTTCAAGATCCTGGCGTCCTTCTACATCAGCCTGGTCATCTTCTACGGCCTCATCTGCATGTACACGCTGTGGTGGATGCTGCGCCGCTCCCTCAAGAAGTACTCCTTCGAGTCGATCCGCGAAGAGAGCAGCTACAGCGACATCCCCGACGTCAAGAATGACTTCGCCTTCATGCTCCACCTCATCGACCAGTACGACCCGCTCTACTCCAAGCGCTTCGCCGTCTTCCTGTCAGAGGTGAGCGAGAACAAGCTGCGGCAGCTGAACCTCAACAACGAGTGGACGCTGGACAAGCTGCGGCAGCGGCTCACCAAGAACGCGCAGGACAAGCTGGAGTTGCACCTGTTCATGCTCAGCGGCATCCCCGACACCGTGTTTGACCTGGTGGAGCTGGAGGTGCTGAAGCTGGAGCTGATCCCGGACGTGACCATCCCTCCCAGCATCGCCCAGCTCACGGGCCTCAAGGAGCTGTGGCTGTACCACACGGCGGCCAAGATCGAGGCGCCGGCCCTGGCCTTCCTGCGCGAGAACCTGCGGGCGCTGCACATCAAGTTCACGGACATTAAGGAGATCCCGCTGTGGATCTACAGCCTGAAGACGCTGGAGGAGCTGCACCTGACGGGCAACCTGAGCGCGGAGAACAACCGCTACATCGTCATCGACGGGCTGCGCGAGCTCAAGCGCCTCAAGGTGCTGCGGCTGAAGAGCAACCTGAGCAAGCTGCCGCAGGTGGTCACGGACGTGGGCGTGCACCTGCAGAAGCTGTCCATCAACAACGAGGGCACCAAGCTCATCGTCCTCAACAGCCTCAAGAAGATGGTAAACCTGACGGAGCTGGAGCTGATCCGCTGTGACCTGGAGCGCATCCCCCACTCCATCTTCAGCCTCCACAACCTGCAGGAGATCGACCTCAAGGACAACAACCTCAAGACCATCGAGGAGATCATCAGCTTCCAGCACCTGCACCGCCTCACCTGCCTTAAGCTCTGGTACAACCACATCGCCTACATCCCCATCCAGATCGGCAACCTCACCAACCTCGAGCGCCTCTACCTGAACCGCAACAAGATCGAGAAGATCCCCCCCCAGCTCTTCTACTGCCGCAAGCTGCGCTACCTGGACCTCAGCCACAACAACCTGACCTTCCTCCCCGCCGACATTGGCCTCCTGCAGAACCTCCAGAACCTGGCCATCACAGCCAACCGGGTGAGTGCCCGGGCGCTGGCTCGGCATGCGGGTGGGCTCCGTGGCCCGTGGTGGGGGTGCTTAGGACCTTGGAGGAGCTTCTAAAAATACCGACTTCCCGGCCCCACCGCAGGCCTGCCAAGTCAGGACGGCAGGTTGGGAGCCTGTCTCTGCCACAGATGCTGCAGTTCTGCCAGGAGGGATGTGTGGTCACGGGTGTGTCCCCAAGGTGCCCTTGTGCAGGTTTCTCATAAGGGATGTGCCGGGCAGGAGGTCCAAGGCCTGTGGTTCTCTCTGTCCATCTCAGGGTTGGGGTGTAGGAGGCAGGACCTAGCCTGGACCTAGCGGTATTTCCTCAGCTGTCCCAGACCAGATTTGGAGCTGAAGCGTCAGTCTGGGTCCAGCAGGAACGGGAACCACGGTGGCTGCTGTCCGCCGAGGGGAAGCCAAGCCGCCTCCACAGCTCCTCGTGCGCTGCTCGCCCCTCTCCCTCTGCATGTGGGTGGTGGAGGGCAGAGTTGGGCTTGATTGAGGCTGCCTGTCACCACCTGCTCTCTGGAGAGGAAACTGCAAACCGTTTGGGAGGCCACGCCCGGAGACCGTTGCAGTCCCTTGCGGTGGCCCCTCGCCTGGCTTGGGAAGCCCCCCACCCAAGGCCCCTCCGTAGAGGCAGGTGGGTGGGTTCGGGGCAGGGCGCTCCTGCGGTTTTGTGGTCTGGCCTCTGCAGTAGCAAAGCACAGCCGCTGAGGGGACCTCCCCACGCCCGGCGGCCTGCGGGAGGTCGACAGTGGAAGGAACAGGTCGTCTGAGTCCCTCCTCTCAAGGTGGGAGCTCCTAGTGAGCAGCGATGGGTTCCGTGGCCAGGGGCTGGGACGCCCAGGATGGGGCTGATTCAGACACCCCTTCTGTGCCTCATGGAACACAGAGGCATAGAGCAGCCCCGTTGGTTAGAGACTTGCTGTGTCAGCCCTGGGAGGGCAGTGTCCCTGCATCTCCCACGTCCCAGCAGCCCCTGAAACGCCCCTGCCCAGGAAAGGACACGCCTCTCCGGTGTCACTCAGACTGCGGAGTCCAGGTGCACCATTTAGAAGCGCCCCCCTCTTCCCTAAGCCTCTCTGACTGCAAACAACCTGTCTCCATATGTCAGAGACGGTGGCAGACCCTGCTCCCTCCTCCACGTTAGGACTGAGACTACCTGAGAGTGAACAAGGGAGAAGGCCAGATCCCAGGTGGCTTCACCCTGAGAATCTGCCCCCAGAGCCGGGCGGGTGCGCTCACCCGGAAAGTGGGACTCCTGCAGAGAGGCCGTGTTTGGAGAGCTCCCAACCCCAGCCCTTCTTTAAAGGTGTGAGGGGCCAGGTGGTGGCCCCAGAACGCAGCCCCAGCCCAGGGCTTGATGGGCTCTCCCACCAGGTGGAGGGTGCGGGCAGCGGCCAGCCTGGCTCCCCATCCTGTCCCTGACCCCAGCTGCTCAGCCCAAGTGTGCCTGTGAGGTCATGTCTGCTGGCTGAGGTCACCCTCAGGAAGGGGCTGGTGGCAGGCAGGCATGCTGTCCGCAGGAAGAAGCCCCTCTGACACCCTGGTCAGTGCAGGGTTTATCACATCCTGTCCCGCCCCCGGGAATGCCGGGGCCTCACAGGGAAAATAGCTCCCTTGGGCCAGCCCTGGTCGGGCTCCTCCTCTGACGCTGGAGCCCCTCTCCGTCCTCAGGGCCTGATGGTTCCTTCGGGGCCTGATGGTTCCTTGTGGGCCGCCGGGCCTGCAGGTAGAAAAGCAAAAAGCGGGGGTGGGAGTGGCCCAGCTCAGGCCCAGGTTTAAATGGTGCTAAGGAGTTCCTTGACAGAGCAGGCATTCGTTTGTCCACTCGCTCGCTCACTCATTTGTTCACCGACTTGGCCAGTGTCTCTGAGCACTCTCAGTGTGAGTGAGGGGCTGGGGACACAGGCGTGGACAAGGCCCACGGTCTGCCCATCCGAGCTCACTGTCTGGTGGGGAAAGACACTTAGCACAATGTGGCAGCAGCACCGAGTAGCCTCAACCCAGACCAACCCAGGGCTGTGGGCCTCCTGGAGGAAGCAGTTCCACCCGGCCCTGCAGGATGAGGAGGGTTAGCCAGGTGAGAAGGGGAGTCCAGTAGGCCCCATCCCTGAGTAACTGAAAGCCGAGGGGGAGGAGGGCAAGGAG